TTTTATTCTTTTAAACCAAAATGCTGGCTTTTTCACTTTTACAATGTCATAAACATTTACTTAAGTCACTATGTATTTTTTATGATACATTATTCTTAATGGCTGCTTAGTATTATATCATATTTTGAGCTTTAATTTGTCTCCTCTCTCCTATCCATTTTATTTTGCTTTTATAAATAATGCTAGTGTAAGAATTCTTGCATATCAGTCTTTGAGTCTCTACTTCTATAGGATAAATTTATGGAAATAAAATTCTTTGTCAAAGATCACATTCTAGTATAAAGTAAGTACTCATGTCAGCTTTTCTTTATGGCCAAAATGAACTGTCAACAGCAACAAGAGCAACTAACATTTACAGAGCTAGTATATAGGGGTAGGTTCTATTATTATAATGAGTAAAAACATTCAGAGATAACTTACTAAAGATCATATGCAAATGACCCAGCAATTCCATTCTTAGGCATGCATTGAACAGAAACATATACATATTTGGGCCAAAAGATGTGTATTGGTTGTTTATAGCAGCACTATTTGTAATATCCCCAAACAAGAAATTATCTAAATGCTCATCATGAATAGATGGATAAGTAAATTGTGGAATATTCATACAATGGAATACTATACGGCAATGGGGATGAACAATGTATAACTATATGCAACTACAGAAATAAATCTTAGAAACATAATGCTGAGTAGGAGAAATCAGGCACAAAAAATACATATTGTATGAATCCATTCATGGAAAGCACAAAAACCAGAGAAAACTTATCTATGCTTTTAGAAGCCAGACCAGTGAATACACTTGTGTGGAGTGAGTGACTGGAAAGTTAGTAGGAGGCTTCTGGATGCTGAAATGCTTTGTCTCTGATCTATGTACCAGTTATCCAGATGTGTAGCTTGTGGAAGCTCATTGAGCTGTAATATATGTATTTCTCTTGTATGTATTTTTAATATATGTTTAAAAAGAGATGATTAAGTAATATATTTTTTACTTGAATGTTGATATGGAAGAAGTAAGGGTATTCACTGGAAAAATTTGTTTACAAAGAAAAATTAGCAATAGTATTAATATTAATTCTAAATGAATATTTTAGAAAGAGGCTCTACTGCTGGCTAAGTTGACAAGTGAGATGTAATTTTTTTATCTTGCTAATGGTATTTCTGCTTTTAACTTTTTTTTTTATAGTTAGGAAAGAACAGCAGATGTCATTTGAAGGTTTTACAAGATACATGGATTCACCCGAATGTCTACTATTTAAACATGAATGTAGAAGAGTTTATCAAGATATGACTCGTCCATTAAATGATTATTTTATTTCATCTTCACATAACACATATTTGATATCTGACCAATTAGTGGGACCAAGTGACATTTGGGGATATGTGAGGTATTTATTTTGAATTTTAAATCTATTACCTTTTAAAATACTTGGAAGCTTCTGATGGTGTCTACCTCAATAAAAAGCAGGCTATGCACGTTCCCCAAATTCATAGGGAAGAGGAATTTTTATTTGTACATCTCTTAAAGATCCAACATTTAGATGAAATGGCAACATAATTTATTATATGCATTAGTATTAGATACTTTCCATCTAATCCTATCTACTGACTTCCTGTCCATGGTTTTGGCCCCTCTGAGGTTTGCTGAATGACTTGGACAGTTCATACAGGAAAACATATGAAGAAGATTTTTTAAGTTTAACTAATCAGAACATCCTAGATTTTAACAAATATGGTTAAAATTAAACCCAGACAGCCAAACACAATGCTATAAGTAAAGCCAACCTTACATTACATAAATACAGTAAATTGTATAACTTGGTACTTATAGATAATGATTTTTATAGATTTATGTGTTAACTAATAGATTAAAAGTTAACTACATAGATGAAAGTAATCCATGTTGCATCTCCAATTTTACATTTTACCATGTATGATACTGTTAATCCTGGGCTTCAGTTTAGTAAGTTAGCTGAGATACAGTGATGAACAAGATAATTTACAATTCCATAAGCTTATAAATAAACATTGCTTCTTCTCTAATTTCAAATCTAAGTAAATATATAAATTCACAAGTTTGGAAACTTATTTTTTTTAGAATTCTGTTAAGATAGCTTAATTTATAGCCATAATTTCATTGTAGAAATATCTACTCATATTTTATTATTTTAATTTTTTTAAAGACAAAAAATATACATTTTAAAACAAGTCTATGTAGAAGTGCAGAAAATTACTTCTGAATTCCAAGAAAATATTTCACCCAAGTGCAAGTTAATATGTAAATTTAGTTGTATGTTTTCTTTGTTTCTTTACCCACCTTTGGAAGATACACCCGTAGAATGCAAATCTTTCAAAATTTCTTTGCTCATGAGAAGTGGTAATGTTTAAGCATCAGTGTTTCAAGTTTTTAGCACTATTTCCTCCCTTTCCCTTGTAAATTAATTTTGTGAGAGACATAACCTCTTTGTGTCTCAATTTCTTTATATGTAAAAGAAAAAAACTGATGTTACTTGCTGTATAACATTAAAAATTTTAATACACCAAAAGCTTCTCAAACTTATTTTTATTGCCAGTTAAAATTCAACTTCAAATTAAAAAAAAGTTACTCATACAAGTTAAAGAAACTTACCATTAATAGAAATTATAATATTTTATACCCTGATAGTTCATGGGAATTATTTGAGGGAAATTTTAATGATAAGTAGACGAAATAAAGTTAAGACTAGAAATTTCATCTCACGAAGGCCTGTACAAATTCTAGAATGCAGGGAGAACATCACCTGTAAGCTTTCCAGAAGCCAAAGCCAAGACAGAAACTAGATTAGTTATAAGATTTATAATAATCATAAAAACAAAATAGTTGCTCAGAAGTGAATGAGAGAGAAATTTCCTCTGTTCCCTTCAAAACAGGGCCTTCAGAACGAAGTAGTGGAGAGTGGCCTCATCATTACCCTTAGAGAAAATAAAACTTTCTTTAGATGTCTCTGAATAGAAGTAGTTGCCATGACACTGTGCAATCACGCAGTCACTTAAAACTTTTTTGCTGGGGACCAAACCACGTGGTCTGAATGTGCAGTTTTGTAAAAGTTGGCTCGAACTATGGATAAAATTTAAACTATCTAGAGAAGTAGCAAGAACCTATACCATTTATGAAAAGTTTTCTTCCACAACCAAGTTTTTGGTAGTTTATTCCCCTCCACCCAGTAGAGAGTTCAAGATCATTCTCTGGGAACACGCCAGAGAACTGATACTCTTATGTTGGTTAAAAACGCAGCACAATCAACTAAGAGTACGGTAAAGTGAGCATTCTTTACAAACAAGCATTGCTCCTTCCGCAATTTAAAATCTAAATACATAAATAAACCTTGCAATGAGAACACTGGAAATTCATTTAAGCCCAGTGGGTACAACTGATGTATGAATCTAAGATAGAATTAATTTATATCTAGGTTAAGAAATGGAGATTTATTTGTTAAGTGGAAAAAATCAAATCCTGTTTAGATATTAGTGAAAGTGGAAATATATTTTCCTCAGTTTTGATTTAGCTGTGAACTTTGTGTATTCTGAGGCAGTCAGTTCAAACTTTTCTTCCAGTGATAACGGGAGGCCGTTATCCTAAGTGAAGTAACTCAGGAATGGAAAATCCAATCCCCTGTGTTTTCACTTATAAGTGGAAGCTAAGCAATGGGTACACGTGGCGGTACAGAGTGGAATAATAGACGTGGGAGACTCCAAAAGGTGGGAGGCTGGGAGAGAGTTGGGGAATGAAAAATTACCTACTGGGTGCAATGTAGGCTGTTTGGGTGGTGGAGACACTGAAAGCCCAGACTACACACATTACATCCATATAACAAAACTGCACTTGTATACCCTAATCTATAAAAATAAAAAAACTTTTCTCCCAGTGAAATTATGAGACAAATAGACATAGATTAGCAGGTTTTCAGGTTTCCTTTGCATAAATATTAATTTTCTCTAGCTCTTACTTGGCTTAGAGATGGCCTTTTATAAAATGGTTAAGGAAATAAAGGTTGTTACTGAGCCATAAGGCCCTCTCGCTTCCATCCCCTCCAGCCATGTTGTGTCCAAGAAGCAAGTATTGCCATGATTTCTCTTTTTTTCCCTTCCCTTCCCACCATATACTCCAATTCCCCAAAACCTCATATAAGGAAAAAACAAAAAAAAATTTATTAATACATTTTATTATTCTGAGAAGGCTTTGGAAGTTATTGCTTTTCAATAATATTGCATTTTTCAGTAGATACAACCATAAAGAAAATTGTCTGAGTTGGGAGTGGTGATATTTCAGAGGTACAACTGTGGAGGCAGGCATCTTCTTTGCTTATTGCAAATAGAGCCTTGAATGGAGAGCAATAAAGAGTATAGCATTTGACTAGGAAGAAGGACAAACTACTGTGCCTCACAGGTAGTTTGTCTCTTCCTTTATAACGCGAATTTCTAGAGACTCAAACCTTGACTTTATTATGGATTCACTTATGCATTTACTACAAAATTACAAATAGTCTTTGGAATATTTTGACACTATGGTATATATTTTTAATGGTCTGTGAGTGACACTTTATTTTGCTTAATTTTTGCTAGTGCCCTTGTGAGAGGATGCCGTTGTCTGGAAATTGACTGCTGGGATGGAGCACAAAATGAACCTGTTGTGTACCACGGCTACACATTGACCAGCAAGCTTCTGTTTAAAACCGTCCTCCAAGCAATACACAAATATGCATTCATGGTATGTACATATCTTTGTTAAACTGTAGTTACTGAAACAGAATCGATCATAATTTACTTGCTTCAAAATTCTATAATACTTGGTCTTAGTTTAGGTCGGTGCTATTTCAAATTGTGGGTTATGACCCATTAGTAGGCAGTGAAATCCATCTAGTGTATGGTTAAAGGTAAATTTATCAAAGTTAATCTCAGGTAGTAAGGTACATGTTGTTTCATGAAACTTTTTGTTTACTTGTGCGTGTGTGTGTGCACGTGTGCACATGTGTGTGCACATGCATGTACGTATATTGTTTCACAATGTAAAATATATTTCTCATTATGGTTGATGGCCAAGAAAGTTTGAGAACTACTGGTCTAAATAATAGTAAATATTTTACCAGTATTCAACTATTTTACATCCAAGACAAAAATAAAATGTGTCAATAATACATTATCTCAATTGTTGACATTGTAATAACTATAATAGCAGCTATTTATATAGCAAGAAATGTTCAGAAGTTTACTTAGGATTTTAAAATTATTATTCAATTTACTAAAGTTACAGATTCCAAGATATAGTTATTTTTAGAACTAAGTTCAGCTTACAAATCCTACTCTATAAATTGAGCAGGTTTTAGTAATCTCTCGATTTTAAGGGAATTTGAATAAAACTTGGTCCTATTTGTAAATATGGCTAATTATATACCATCAGACATTTGAAATTGTTTTTGTAAACACTTGTAATTGTTTTATTAATGTACTTGTTTTCTGGTTTAAGTACTTCAATTTTAGTACATTTATAGTCCATTCAGAGTGATTTAACAAAATCTTACTAAGTACTTCATATGAACCTAATAAATTAAACTTATGAATTTAATAAACTTAAAGTTCTCCTATGTCAATACTTTATAAGTCTGTAAACATAAACTTAAAATCACAAATTTATCTCAATTATTCTATTATATATTAAAAAAGTATAAAATAAATATTCCCAAGATACAAATGTCAGATATGAACAATTTCTGTCATAATATAAAAACATTGACAGTATGGCATTATTTCTCTTAAACATCTCATTTCTGATGATTTTTTAAGTTTATATCTTTACTTCAACTTCTCCCTTGAACTCTACACCAATATACACAACTACCTATTTGATATTTCCACTTGGATACAAATAGGCATATTTAACTTCACATGTTTAAAATTTCCTCTTTCTCTCAGTCCTGCTCTTCTCATGGTTTTTCCCAGGTCAGTTAATGGCAACTTTCATATATTTAAGCCAGAAGTATCACTGTCATCTTCAACCCACCTCCCCTGCTTTTAAACCCTTCAATCAATACTTCAGCAAATCGTCTTGGCTCTATGTGCAAAATATATCCTGAATTTAATTTCTACTTCCCATTCTTACTGTCATTGTCCTAGTCAACCACCATCACCTCTCACTTGGACTATCACAATGGGCTCTTCCTTGGTGTTTCTGCTTCTCTCCTTACTTCCCTGCAGTCTTATCTCAACATGTCAGCCAGAGTGACTTTTCAGTGAGTCAGATCATGTCATTCCTCCTCTCAAAGCATTCAAGCCCATTCAAAATAAAAGCTAAAATCAATACAATGACACACAGGGCCCTATGTGATGGGTTTTCTCTTACCTTTCTGCATGCTCCTGCTAATCCCTGCTCACTTGGCCATTCTGGCCTCTTCAGTTTTTCTCAGGCACATCTCAAAGCCTTTGCACTTGCTATTTTCTTTATATGAAATATTTTCCCCAAATATTTGCACAGCTAACTTCTTCACTTAATTTAGGGTGGGTAGCTGAAGAAATAAAAGGAAATAGAGATAGTCTTAGAATTTAAAGGCCTTGCAAGGGTAGAAAGTCCTACAGCTTCTAAGACTCCAAAAAACAAGAGACGAACAATTAGATAAGAAAAAGAGATAAAAAGGAAAAAGGGAAACGGAAGAAGTAAAATTATTTCTATCTGCAAATGACATGATCCTATATATAAGAAACACCAAATAGTCTGCAAAAGAGAAAAAAAATTGTTAAAACTGATGAATTCAGTAAAATTACAGAATACAGAATTAACACACAAAAATCAGCATTTTTGTACACAAATAATGACTTAACTGAAAAAGAAATCAAGAGAGCAATCCCATTCATGATAGAATAAAAAATACCTAGGAATAAATTTAATGAAGGAGGTGAAAGATCTGTACACTGAAAACTGTAAAACTTTGATGAAAGAAATTGATGAAGACACAAATACATGGAAAGATATCCTGTGTTTGAGGATTGGAAGATTTAATATTGTTAAAATTTCCATACTACCCAAAGCAATATACAGATTCAATGCAATCCCTATCAAAATCCCAATGACATTATTCACAGAATTAGAAAAAAATCTAAAATTGGTATGGAACCATGAAAGACATCAAATGGTCAAAAGAATTCTGAGAAACAAAAACAAAGTTGGAGGCATTATACTTACTGGTTTAAAATTATATCACATAGCTTTGGTAATCAAAAAGTATTGTACTGGCCTAAAAACAGACACATAGACCAGTGGAACAGAATAGAGCGCTCAGAGATAAACCCAAGTATGTATGGTCAACTAGTTTTCAACAAGAACCCTAAGAGAATACAATGGGGGAAGGACAGCCTTTTCAATAAATGGTGCTAAGAGAACTGGATTTCAACAAGCAAAAGAAGGAAATTGGACCCTTATCTTACATTATTCACAAAAATAAACCCAAAATAAGTAAAAGACCTAAATATAAGACCAGAAGCAATAAAACTTCTAGAAGATAACACAGGGAAAGAGCCCCTGGACATTGGCCTTTGCAATGACTTGTTTTAGATATCACACCAAAAGCTCAGGCTACAAAAGCAAAAATAAATAAATGGTACTATGCCAAACTAAAAAGCTTCTGCACAACAAAGGAAACAGTCAACTAAATGAAAGAGCAGCCTACAATTGGGAAAAAACAGTTGCAAACCATATATATGTAGAATCTAAAAAAATATTCAAATACACAAAGAGAACAAGATGGTGGTTACTAGGGTGAGGATTGGGGAGAAAATGGGGAGACACAGGTCAGAGGATGCAAGGTATCAGATAAGTAGAGTGAACAAGTTTAGAGAGCTAATATACAAGGTGAGGACTATAGGTAATAAAATTGAACTGTATATGGGATTTATGCTAAATGAGGAGATTTCAGCTGCTTTGGCCACAAAAACAAAAAAGTGGGTAAATGCACAGATGTAGAATCAACCTACATGTCCCTCAATTCATGAGTGGATAAAGAAAATGTGGCATATATATAACATGGACGCTCTGGGAGGCCGAGGCGGGAGGATTGCTTTAGGTCACGAGTTTGAGACCAGCGAGAGTGAGACCCCATCTCTACTAAAAATAGAAAGAAATTAGTTGGACAACTAAAAAATATATAGAAAAAATTAGCCAGGCATGGTGGCACATGCCTGTAGTCCCAGCTACTTGGGAGGCTGAGGCAGGAGGATTGCTTGAG